CCAGAGAGACTTCCCTCCTCAGCAGAGACCCAGAGAGACTTCCCTCCTCAGCAGAGACCCAGAGAGACTTTCCTCCTCAGCCTGGCCCAGAGAGACTTCCCTCCTCAGCCTGGCCCAGAGAGACTTCCCTCCTCAGCCTGGTCAGAGAGACTTCCCTCCTCAGCCTGGCCCAGAGAGACTTCCCTCCTCAGCCTGGCCCAGAGAGACTTCCCTCCTCAGCCTGGCCAGAGAGACTCCTCAGCTTTTTGTAATTCTCCGGCGGCAACATTAAATGTGCTGTGTTCCGGGAGGGCCCCGAGTGCATTGTGCCAGGAGCTGCTGGCTCCTTCAGCCCCCTCAGCGGAGCTGCTTACAGAGACCACATGGCAAGGGTCATGGGAGCAGTGAGGCGGGAGAGACCGCATTTGACGCGGGATCTAGAGACCTGATGGTGGGTTCTGGTTTGCACAGCGTTGAGTTCACTTCTGAAGACAAATACAGGATAACTTCACCTTACTATAAGGACTGGAGCGGTGCTCTACTGTCCTAACACTGTATCGATCAGCTAACTCACACAATAAGACGGACTGCAAGCGTGGAATCTGGCTCCCTGTAGTCACTGGGCTCACTGGCTTGACGCTCTGCCTCTAAACAGCATTTCTCTACTCAACTGGCCTGCTTCTCTAGGTCAGAACGTCCATAAGCCTGACAATGCATAGACCAGTTTGGTCAGGTAGTGAGCAGAGTTCTGCCACCAACCTATGTCCTTCCTCTTGTGCCCATCAAAACCCAGACCTACCACCCACCACTGTGTCCTGAGCACTAGGAAACCTTGGGATTATTCTTAAATCCGGTCTTCTTCATCCCCCGCACTCGATCAAGCGATTCTCCCACCTCGGTTTCTCCAAACTCTGTGATCCACACTCTTACCCGCACACCAAGGTTGCAGCCTCATGGCTGTTCACTCGGACCATAGCCAGGGATGCCTCCCTAAAGCCTCCAACTCCCCTCTTGCCTGCTCTTAACTAGTGACTCTCCATCTGTGGGTTGTGACCCCTGGGGGACAGGGGTGTCCAACAACCCTTTCACAGGGGTCCCATATCTGATATCCTGCATACCAGATGTTTACATTGCGATTCATAATAATAGCAAAATGACAGTTAGGAAGTAGCAAGGAAAATGATGTTATGGTTGGGGTCACCATGGCATGAGGAACTGTATGAAAGGGTCACAGCATTAGGAAGGGCGAGAAGCGCTGCTCTGAACCCTTCCACGCTGCTCCCGGGAAATCCCCTGTAATCCGTTGACCTGATGAGCCACTCACGGCTTAACCTTTGTGCGTTTGCTGCCTGCAAGCTGAGTGTGGCCCTTTAACAGGGCATCTAAGGCCCTTCCTCGGTAGCCTCAGCCGCTTCGCCCTGAGCAACAGAAAACGCTTGCGTTTCTCCGAGGGTTTCTTGAAGCTTTATACACACACAGCACACTCTTTCCTGCTTCCGTTTGCTTGTGTGGGAGCTCAGGGGCCACCCGACAGGAAAGCTTGGCCTGGTTACACAGGCTGAACGTGTTCTCTTCCTCGGTGACCTGTGTCTCTATCCCTCGAGTTCCTCCTTCTGTAGCGCTTCTTAGTGACCTGGTGTTGCTTATCTTGGTACCTTTAGTACTTGGTTCAGAGGTTGGCAAGTACTCAGTAAATATTTGGTGAGCAGGTGAATTGTGTAGTCTCAATAGCTGCAATATGACTTTTTTAAAGATTGAGCAAATTTTTTCCAGACTCTATTGTCTATATATAATTTCTATTAGTGTTTGATAACATTTCATGCAATATTCTTATTTTTACAGAATTAAATCTCTCTTTTTTTTCTTACAAACTGTATGGCCATGGCAGGCTTCTTGTTATCTAATCTTTTCTCATTTTTAAACTTGATGGACAGAATTATATACGATGAAGATTAAATCTTTTTATTATTGTTGTGAATTTCATTTATTTTGTGTGTACAGGTAGATTTTAAATTAGGTTAAAATTTTATCCCCTGCAGCTGGGCATAGTAGTACAGGCTTTTAATCCCAGCAGAAGCAGATGGATATCGATGAGTCCAAAGCCAGCCTGGTCTATATAGCGAGACAATGTCTCAAAAATGATTTTGTTGCTAAATATTGCTAAAAGACATGCAATTGACCTTCTGTGTTTCTTCTTTAGATGGCGTCCATGTATCAGACTGGCATCCAACTTGTTGTGTACTGAGGATGACTTTGGAATCTGATCCTCTTGCCTTTATCTCTTAAATGCTGAAACTATAGGCACACACCCCCATACCCACTTTTATGTGGCTGGAGACTGGACCCAGAGCTTTGTTCATACCAGGAGAGCACTCTTCCAACTGAGCTGCATCTCCAGCCCTGGGCTCATCTTTAAGTAGGATTTTGGTGCTCCAAACTTGGAATAAAATATAGTTTTGAACAGAAACAATTACCTTCATTAGAAATGAACATGCTTAGGAAAATCATGTGCCTACAGAGATGATCTTGGAGAGACTCAAGACATATACTCTTGCTGGAGTTGTAGCCCCGACACATCAGGAGTGGATTAAAGAGTCTTCATATAATGAGGATGACATGGGTCTTACTTCCTTGACTTTGGGAGATGAACAGAACGGGGCAACACTGGTAACTGTATCTGAAGTAAATTTGAAGTCAAGTCACACTTGCTGGTGAAGATGCAAGAAGTGAAAGAGATGATGAATATATAAATAAACTACTGAAAATTTTAGCTTAGGCCAACGTACCGAGTTCTTTTAAACACTGGCTGTGTTTTTAAGCCACAGTGACAGTTCCATCTGTAGGAAAGGTACCTGATTAAGGGTTTCCTTGTGAATCTAGACATGGGCGGCTATTGAAATTGTCCTGAAGGGTTTGATTTTCATTTTCGAAGCAAGTGTGTTACCTGGCTGAGCCCATATTCAAAGGCTGGGTGCATTGATCCCCTGCAAGACACTTGAAGGTTAAGTAACGCAGATCTCAACTAATCTGGTTAAGCTGCTGATGCTAAATGTCGGCTGGCATCCCGGCACACCAGCTTCTACATGCTCCTGATTTGCCACTTACCTTTTGTTCAGATAGCCACTTTGGAGCGATGTGGCTCTTTGCATGTCTGTGCCTTGTGCTTAGCTTTCTGGGAGGAGTGAGCTGTACCTGCCCCTCTGAGTGCACCTGTGATTATCACGGCAGAAATGACGGCTTAGGATCAAGGTATGCCCCTCTCTTTGCTACTAAGTATTCTGATTGTCCTGGAAAAATGGACCCCAAAAAAACCAGTCTGATTTTATAAAAGCAAAATTTTCATTAAAAATCAGGGGAAGTTTAGATTCTATGAGATTAGGTTCAGTTTTTATTAGCTGGTTGCCCACTGCCCTA